CCCTTAAATTTCTCTTAAGAATTTCTGACCAAACTTTGTTGCATTTATTTCGGGACACCCTGTATATGACTAGATATATCATTATGGTAAATCAAAAGCATAATAGGTAAAAATGTATAATTATCTATGTTTATAACGAATATTATCTGGTAAAATTCTTTTCTTACTTTCAGATACAGAGACAGTTAAATATAACCGGAAGAAGTCTATATGTTATTTCGTAATATACCTATAGTGGTGAAAACAACCCGCTCTATGTAGAACAAATTAAGAAAGATGAAGAATTATGGAAAAAATCAATGGCAACAAATTTGGAACAATTTTATAAAAATTGTATACTACCAGAAATAATATACAAAAATATTCCACAGGGAAAAAGATGTATGGATCCAGAATATATTATAGAAGCTCAAATTAATAAAAAGAAATAATTTTATTTTATGATTTTTTAAATTTTTTCCTGTTCTACTGTACCTATTCTATTTATTTCTTTATTACTTTCATTTATTTACATATTTATTAAACTACACTGTTCCACAGAATTTCTGTTTATATTGGAGGTATTAAAGTACCTACAACTATTTTTTCAAGTGAAGTGAACTGAATACCTATTTCTCATAAAAAAAATTTAGTCTCAAATCGTCCTTTTGTACATAATTCTTTACACATTTTTTGGACAAAATAAGTATATCGTACATATTTTTTATATTTTCTCATTATTATGTATATTCACAATTAAAATTCTATTTATATTAATATGCGAATTTTTTTTATCAAGAATTACTTAATATTAATTATTAAAAATATAATATTTTCCATTTCTGTTTATACCAAAGTAAGCCGCTTTATTCACAAATCGTAATTATAACATAACTTTCCGTTATGAACAACTTTTCTTATTAACATTTTTTTATATTATCAAAAACAAAAGCAGTTTATTCTTCAACGTTATTAATTTTGTTAAATTTCTGATCACCCTGTATATATATAAATTACAGTTTTTCATGACAAACATATTCAATTAAAAAGCAAAATATTTTTTGTCACGAATTACTTTTTCTAGTAGAATAGAAAATAAAAATGTTTTCCCTCTTATCCACTAACCGTAGATACTAATATAGGTATATTAATTATAAATTATGGTTTTAAATAAACTAAAAATTGTTTATATTTCATATTTTCTAAAATTATATAATAGTATGGACTTGCACTGTTACTTATATACTTTTATACAAAAATATATCTAAAATGATCATGACATTCTTTAAATATTTACGTATCAATTAACAGAAACCATGACTACCAATTCAGAATCAGGTTATACCAAATTAACCACATACAACAGCTGTTCGTTAAAAATAACCCGAGTCCATTCATAAATAAATTTTTACTAGTGCGACATCTATTACAAATCAAGCGAATTAAAAGTCGGAGATAATGCTATTCATGAATGAATATTTTTTAATAATTTTATTCCAATATAACTTTTTAAATAATAAAGTGATGAACAAACTATGAAATAAAGTCTAATCAGTTTATTTATTTAAAGACAACTATATAAAAAATTGCATAATTCTATAATACTATGAAGAAATAATCGTTTCTTTGTAAAAGTCCAAAATACCTTCATATTTAGAAACTAATTTCTCACGAATTATTTACCTATCCCAATTAATTTTTGCTTTACTGTCTTCATTTATACTTTACCAAATGTGATATGAAATTTTACTACTTTCTTCCATTGATTTAAAAAGATATATTGGAATAAAAAAGGGCTGTTTTCTACCATTTTTCGGTACAATTTAGGCAACCAGAAATGCATCAGTTTCCATCCTTTAGACAAATATAGAACAAGGTCGAAATTCTGAATAAAATGATGTATATAACACACATACGGCCGAAAGTGGATATAGAACAACATAATCCCTGGGTGACGAAATATAGAAAATACTGAATAACAACAAAATGACTTGTTAAAACAATTTGGGATAATGACAATCAACTTTAGGTTTTTCTTCATTGATATGAATGTGAAATTTTAACAGAATTTCATGCTTTATAGAATCACAACAAAAGTAATGAAAATTCTATCCAAATTTAATAAAATAAATACACCTACTATTATTATCTAAAGTGGGCTACAAATTCACAGACAAGCATGAATTATCTGGCTTTATGTGGCATTATGTTATTATTTATAATCTTTATTTTATTTTGTGGGATTTGTTGTTGAAGATTATTAGAAAACCTTATCCCTTATCTATTAAATGGGTGACGTTCAAAAGTTGTTAGCAACAAACGAAACTTAACACACAAAGAAGTCACTTAGTAGCTTTAATTGAAGATAATAAAATATTAAATAAACATTTATCTTCTAGTCGCCTTGCCAAATGAGCGTGCATCGCATTAGATTTTAATGATAAATATAATAAAATATTATATCTTTCATAGATATCTTACTGTTTTCCTGTGATTTTAGAAAACAAAAGCATCGTTGGTGCGTTAACCTTTATATCAGCAAGTAAAATTGTAAATATTACTCTTTATATTTTTCATTTCAAGTAGATAAACGATTGTTTTCCAGAATCTGCAGGAACAAATCTGATATTAGTACAAACAATGATTAATAGAAAATTGATATTTTAAGAGAAATATAAATTGTTAAATCGATAGACTTTAACTGCAAATTAATAAAGAAAGTTTCTACAAAGTTTTAAACATACAGGGTTTTTAAGATTAGTACATAAGTACGGTTTATTACAAACTAAAGTTAAGGTCAACCATACTAGAATAGAATATAATAGCGCAGAAAGGAATATAATAGAATAGAATAGCATAGAATAGAATGGAATGGAATGGAATGGAATGAAAGGGAATGGAACGGAACGGAACGGAACAGAACAGAATAAAACAGAATTTACTATATAACCACATTACATAGAAAATACAGGTTTATGGCAAATCAAAGATACACATTTTGAGATAAAAAAACATAGGTACACGTTTGTGAGTAAAATATAAGAAAGAAACATTCAAGAATAAAAATTAAAATTTTTAAACAATTTAGAAACTTTTAGCCATTATGGCTAAACTAAATGTTTAAATATTCTTGCATCGGCATCGTAATAAAAAATTTTTTTACGCAAATGCTTTTTAATTTCTGTTTTGAAATGCGTCATCGTGAGCTGTCTAACGGAAAGTGGCAAACCATTGTAAAGCCTTATTTCTGTGTGTCGATAGCGGTTTGTTCTAATCGCTGTACAGCAACTTGGAAAGTTATTAATATTCCCGAGAATTTCGGCTAAAGTAAATATTGGACATTCCATGCTAAATACTGAGGTCGTGACCCGACCATTTTTAATTTTCCTGATTTTTGTGGTATTATTTAGTACCTACCCACTTAGAGTAGCTTTCATGAGTTTTTTCAAATTTTTATGTCAACTCCACAGGAAGTTATGAGCATTTGAATGTTTAGGGAAAAATTTTTCAAATATAAAAATATAAAAAAAATTACTTTTAGTTTTTTGAGTTCTTCTTATTTTTAAATCAAAAAAGTGCTTTCTTTTCTTAGAAACATTCTTAAAAAAATCGTCTTTTAATATAAGCAAAATGAAACAGGTCCTAGAGTGGGATTTTCTTTATTGTATTTATTTTGGAATTATTTTTTTTGTATTTGTTTTTTATAGATAATGTATGCTGTTAAATCAAGTTCTATTATAGAAGTAAATAGCGATGACTAATCACTAAAAATACTATATATTTAAAACTACTTCTACTAATATTGTCATTATTAAATATCTAAATTATTATGAACCAAATATTGCACATTAATCCTGAGAAAATCAATTTTGGAAAAAGTTACTTTTTTCCGTTTTTCTCATTTACGTATCTCAGAAAGTTTTAAAGCAATTTGAATTCTGAAAAAAACAGATAAAACCCGATGAAATTCTGTTATATTTTGAAAAAACGTTTCGATAGGATGATTGTGGTCAAAATGACGGCCAGTTGAAAAAAATATGCATTTTCATTTTCCGAATAACGCTGTCAGGATGTAAATTTGGCGCCAAAGAACTGCAAAAATTTGTTGTCGGGAAATAAAAAAAATACGGGTATCATAAAATTCAAAGTAGATTAAGATCCCAAAGTTTAAAAAAATCGAAAAGTCGATTTTTTTTTGTTCATTGAATCCATATGGAAAGTACCAATAAAAAAGATTACATTGTTTAATTATATAAATGATAAGTGTGTTTTTTTAAATATTTTTGACAAATTATTTTTATCTGTGTAATTAATATGGATGAAATAAAAATATTTAATAGATTTTGTGTATTACTTTTTTGAATTATTTGAATACCTTTTAAGATAAAGAAAAAGTGCAATACCTAAAATTTACAGTTGTATAATTAAAAAAACTTATAAAATGATATTTTATTTGAGGGTAATTTTGTTTTCATTTTTAACATTGATATTTAACAGTAATCCCTAATCTGTGATACTAATTTAGTAAAAGTAATTTACATTTAAAGTTGATATTTCTAATTTATTTCATTTGAGATAACGCAAAATGTGATATCCAAACTAATATAAATTTGACCTTTATACAATTCTTAAAAGATCAAATTATTTCAGTCAAAATACTGCCTCATTTAAATTGACCTCAATTTTTTCAAGTTGTTAAACAGTAAAGCAGATATATCTTATTTGATAATTAATGAAAAATTTTTTCCTGTCAAAGATTCTTAGAAATGTTTCTTGTTTCCAGAATTATTTCGCACTTAGTTATAACTTTCAAAAAACGTTAAAAATAAATTATTTAATTATTCCCTAGTCCATATTTTTATTTCCAAATACTTTTTTAAGCAAAAAAAAATCAGTAGCTGAAATTCATAATTTGACAAAGAAATGCTAAATATATGTCAAAATCACAATTTTGTCATAACGACAGTTCATGATGAAAAAAGTCTTGCATAATTTTTTTAACAAAAAACAAATTACTATACCTTCTCAGTCTCGGGAATCCTCACTTTGTTCTTGGAAAAGTAAGTATTAATCTGCTCATCCTCGTAGTAGTGAGGCAGCTTTTCTTTTTTTATTTTGCCATTGCTAGTCTCCCCATTAGGCGTCGTCATCTTGTACAAGGAGAATCACGACAACACAAATCCAGAACCACAATCACCGTTATCACAAAACACAATAAACTATAATTTAACGAGCGACAGCAGCACTGATTTGCTATCGCCAATAAATCAGTCTTTATATATACAAGGGACGGGAATTTGAATTTTTGTTATCGCCGCCTTTTATTCTCTTCTGGCGGGACCTTTCTGTTATTATCGCTTGCTGACGATGTATCACGTACCCTGATAATTTAATAAGTACTTGGTGGAATACTCGCCGCACCGTACTTCACTCTCCCACTGTATTTAAATTATCAGGCGCTGCATTTATATCACCCTAGGCTGGAATCGCTCTCTGCTTCTGATAGCTGTTGCTAAATTGGTTAAACACATTGCTCGAAATTTGTTATCAGGAAGAGTTCAACATTTAATGCTTGGTTTAGGCAAGATGCGAGATGTAATCTCGTTAAATTGAATTTCATGGAATTTTGTACATGTGGACGGTATTTCCTCTGTACACAGATTGCAGGGACAGGTCAGTATTGGAATAATTGTAATAGTGAATGATTTGTAGACATATTTAATGACAATGTAGAAAAAATTGATGGTTACGGATAAAGAGAGTTATCATGAGATAAATGCGTGAAAATCAGATATAATTTATTCTGTGCTCTCTGATAAAGATAGTAGAGTAGAATGTCAAAGTGAAATAAACCTAACAAAGAACAAGAACAAAGAACAAGAACACGGAACCGAAAGGAGGAAACTTGGGAAACCCAACCTTATAATAAAATAGAACCACACATGAAAATATCAATGGAGAAATAACGTTTCGCAAAAATACCAGTCTAATCATCTTATGAGATTTAGATTTGATTTAATGAGATAGATAGATAGATAGATAGATATTTTATTCTTTGAGACATAAAAAGTGTATAAGAAACGTCAGATCAAGTTGTAAAAAACAGAAATTACATTTTAACAAATATTTAAACACACGTTATATATATAAAAAAACATAAAATATATAAAACATAATATAAAAAAGAGTAAATAAACGTTACAAGTAATGCTTGATTAGGTATAAAAGTCTGCGGTACTATATAAGCACTTTTCAACAAGATACAATTTTAGATTGAATTTAAAAGCATTTACACTTTTAATATTTTTTATATTTTCCGGAAGATTGTTGAACACTTTGGCACCAATCCGACTTGGAGCTTTAAAAGTAATATTTACTCTAGAATGAGGGATACGCAAATCATTCTTTATTCTAGTGTTTATGTTATGGACGTCACAGTTAGCTAAAAACTTAGATTTATTATTAAACACAAACAAACATATCTCAAACACATAAAGGCCAAAAAGGGTTAAGAGTTTATATCTACCAAATAGTTCCCGACAT